CAGAGAGACCCTGTCTCAAAACAATGACAAAAAACAAAATCAAGGATTGACTGAGGGAAGAAAAGGGAGAAGGAGGTAAAGACATCGCACACTAGTTGAGTGCATGTACACTCACATGACCACACATGTACCTACACACACACACACAAGCTAGGCTGGTGGCACATGCCTATCCTTGAGTTCTTCCCAAGGTCCTGCACATATGATCTCACCACTGCAAAAATAAATAGATAAGTAAATAAAAGAAAAGATTTAAAGTAGGGACAGTTAAATGTGCCATGGGATCCCCTACATTATGGAATAATACGTATCAGGGAAGATGAATGAAAATTTCTAAGCCAGGCTTGGTGGCACATGCCTGTAACTCCAATATTTGAGAGACAGAGACAGGAAGATCAGAAGTTCAAGGTCATCCTCAGTTAAATATTGAATTTGAGGCCAATTTGGGCTTCAAGAAACCTTCTCTCAAAAATGAATAAAACCTTGCGGTAATAGCCTCAGTTATTAAGTAGACACACCTGGGAAGACAGAACCTCAAAGAGTTGCCTTCATCAGATTGGCCTGCCGATATGATTACAGGGTGTGTTCTTAAACGTTAACTCATGCAGGGGAGCCTAGTCTCATCATGGTGGGTGATGTGATCCTGGGACAGGTGGTTCTGTTGTACAAGGAAGGTAGAAAGCCAGAGAGACAAAGCCAGTAAGCAGCCTTCATCCATGGTCTCTGCTTCAGTTCCTGCCTCCAGGTTTGAACCCCGGCAACCTTGATGGATGGTGAAGTGTAGTAGAAAACAAACCCCAGCCTCCCCAAGTTGGTATCAGTCATGGCGTTTATCACAGCAGTGGAATCCTAACTAGGAAAGACCCCAAATGAGACTAGACCCCTCATCTTTTTCAGAAGGACACACGAAGGTGACTGCCACCCAGAGCCAGGCCATCTGCCCGCTGTTGTGCAGCCTCTGCCGTCTCTGCTGTCTCATACTCCAGTACTGCAAAGCCCTTCAGCTGCCCATCCTGGCCACGTGCCAGCTGACAGAATGTGGGGGTGTAGAAGGCTGACAGTGCCTGGCGCAGGGCATCCATCATTGAAGCCAGGTGGTTCACACAGAGGCACCGGGAGTGCAACAAGACAGGGGGCGGCTGCCCAGCATCTGTGCGATGCACCTATACTGTGCGGGGGCCCAGTGGCTTGCCCAGCAAATCAGACTTGGCCCTGGCAGCCGAGTCTGTCTTCATGTACTCTGCAAAGCCATGTCCCTTAGAGTGGCCTGTGAGCTCGCTGTACACTAGGAAGCAGCGCTCCAGGCTGCCAAAGCGCCGCACCGGCTCCTCAAACTGTGCCTGGGTCAGGCTGGGCGGCAGTTTGGCCACACACAACAGAGCATCTGTAGGCTGCAGCTGAACTGACAGCTCCCGCTCTCGAAGGCAGCTCTGGTGGAAGGCCTTGATGGCGGCTTCAGCCTGCTCCCCATTCAGCAGGGTCACGAAAGCTGTCCCTTTGTATTTGTCCACCAAATAATACTTGAGTTTGCAGTCGCTCAGAAGATCGTGTACTTCCTGGTTAGTCACGTCTCCCGGGAGGCTCCGGATCAGTACCTTGCGGCAATTATGAAACTGGCTCTCAGTACGTTCCAGGCCTTCCGGATCTCTTCCGGATCCAATGACAGCAGCTCTTGTTCAGGCGCTCAGGTCTAGGCGGTCCACGAAGTTTCCTCTTTTGCCGCCGCCTCCGGGTTGAGCAGCGGCCAGTGAGTCAAGAACTTTAAATCTTTGAAGAAAGAAATTGAAGAAGACACTAGAAGATGGAAAGATCTCCCATGCTCTTGGGTAGGCAGAATTAACGTAGTAAAAATGGCAATCTTACCAAAAGCAATCTACAGATTCAAAGCAATGTCTATCAAAATCACAGCAAAATTCTTCACAGACCTCGAAAGAACAATACTCAACCTCATATGGAAAAGCAAAAAATCCAGGATAACCAAAAGAATCCTGTACAATAAAGGAACTTCTGAAGGCCTCACAATTCCTGACATCGAACTCTACTACAGAGCTACAACACTGAAAACAGCCTGGTATTGGCATAAGAACAGACAGGAGGACAAACGGAACTGAATCGAAGACCTGGATATCAATCCACACACCTACAAACACCTGATTTTTGACAAAGAAGTAAAAATATAAAATGGAAAAAAGAAAGCATAGTCAACAAATGGTGCTGGCATAACTGGATATTAACATGTAGAAGAATGAAAACAGATCCATATCTATCGCCATGCACAAAGCTCAAATCCAGAAGGATCGAAGACCTCAACATAAAGCCAACCACACTGAACCTCGTAGAAGAGAAAGTGGGAAATACTCTTGAACAGATTGACACAGGACACCACTTCCTAAATAGAACCCCAGTAGCACAAACACTGAGAGCAACAGTTAATAAATGGAAACTCCTGAAACTGAGAAGCGTCTGTAAAGCAGAGGACATGCATGGTCAACAAGACAAAATGGCAAGTTACAGATTGGGAAAAGATCTTCACCAATCCCCCCTCCCCCCACATCAGACAGAGGGCTGTTCACCAAAATATACAGAGGACACAAGATATTGGTCAGAGCAAAAGAACAAATATTCCAGTAAAACATGTGGTACAGACCTAAACAGAGAACTCTCAACAGATGAATCTAAAATGGCTGAAGACACTTAAGGAAATGCTCAACACCCTTAGTCATCAGAGAAATGCAAATCAAAATAACTCTGAGATTCCATCTTACACCTGTCAGAACGGCCAAGATCAAAACACTGATGACAGCACATTCTGGAGAGGAAAAATGGTGGGGTAATGGTACACTCCTGCATTGCTGGTGGGAGTGCAAGCTGGTACAGCCACTTTGGGCATCAGTATGGCACTTTCTCAGAAAATTAGGAAACAACCTTTCTTAAGACCCAGTTATACCACTTTTGGAATGTGTATATATATATATATATGTATATATACACACACACACACATATATATATATATGCACATACATAAATCCAAAGGATGATCAATCAAACAACAAGGGCATATGCTCAACTATGTTCATAGCAGCGATGTTTGTCATAGCCAGAACCTGGAAACAACCTAAATGCCCCTCGACTGATGACTGGATAAGGAAAATGTGGTACATTTACACAATGGAGTACTACACAGCAGAAAAAAACATAATGACATCTTGAAATTTGCAGGCAATTGGATGGATGTAGAAAGCATCATATTGAATGAGGTAACCCAGACCCAGAAAGACAAATATCATATGCACTCCCTCATAAGTGGACATAAAGCAAAGAAAACCCAGCCGATCATTCACAATCCAGAGAACCTAAACAACAAAAAGGACCCTAAGAGTGCCGCACATGAAGCTAATGTACATGGCAAGTAGAAAAAGACAAGATCTCCTGAGTAAATTGGGAGCATGGGGGTCAGGGGAGAGGGTCGAAGGGGAGGAGGAGGATGGGAGGGGAGGGAAGAAAAATATATAGCTCACTAAAAATGATAAATAATTGAGAGTTGGGAGTGGATAGCTGATCTTGTGGTTTGGTCTTGGGTGTGGAGGCGTTTGGAGAAGGTCGGGTGTGGCAGTGAGGGACTGGAGGTCAGACGGTGACAACACTGAGAGTCTAGCAGTAGGAGATGGCTCCATGCAGGTGGCAATGGCTGGTATTTCTGAGGCACGAGGTCTTAAAGGCCTGGAACTAGGACAGCACCAACTGTACCAGCGTTTAGAGTCCACATGGACAGAGACACAAAGCAGAACTAAAATCGTGAAAGGGGCCATGATAGCTAAAGGAGTCTAAACACACTCAGAAAAGCTACTTGGGACTTGCCCTAGTTCTGAGGTCTGCTCTGAATTTTCATTTGCATTCTCAACTATTTTGGTTGTTGTTTGGTTTATTTTGAGAGGATTTCCCCCTCTACTTTCTCTAAAATATTGGCCCAGAACATCAGGTTTCATTGAAGAATCCACATGTGCATTCTCCTTCAGAGTTGTGGATTCCAGGACCACTGAAGGAGTTTTTTCCTCTTATCACTTTGAACATATCAACCCACTGCCCGCTAGGGTCCTAGATTTCTGTCTGGTGGGAAATTGGATGAAGAGTTTATGGAGAGAATGTGACAAAGTCTATTCCTCTCTGCCCCGTAGAAGTTAGTCACTTGCCCTGGAGTGTCCTGGGAAACAGAGCCTTGCCAGAGCATCCCAGAGTCAGTCAGAGGCTACCATTTCATTCTGATCAATCTGAGTCTACTAAAAAAGGAACTGATTGCTTTGAGGATGGGTGTGATGGGCTCCATAAGCCAAAAGTCATGACAGCATGTTAGGGTCTGTGAAAAGTGGACCATGCTACCCATCCACTAATAGATGAGTGTCAGTGTGTGCCAGATGGTGTTTGTCAACTTGACACAAGCTGGAGTAATCTGAGGAAGAAGGAACTTAACTATCTAATAGGTAAGTCTATGGGGAATTTCAATTAGTGATTGATGTCCCTGGGCTGGAGGTCATGGCTGTATATATAAAATAAGCTGGCCTAGAGAGTCAAGGAGAGCAAGTCAGTAAGTGGCTTTACTCCATGGTATCTGCTTTGGTTCCTGCCTCGAGGTTCTTGTCTTGACTTCCTGCCCTGACTTCCTCTCATGGTAGCTTCTGATAGGAAAGTGAAAGGGAAGTAAACCTTCCTTGCTCAAGTTGCTTTTGGTCATGATGTTTCTTCACAACAAGAGAAAGCAAATACACAGTGTCCGTACCTGGTGAAGGACAACATCCGGAGCCTTTTTATAATTCAAATGATTCCACCGACTATGATTATTAAAGCAGAAAGGGTTTCTATCAGGGTTTGGATGTGTAATATCCAAGGAAGGATCCTGTGTTTGGACACTGATGCCTAGCATGAGGCCATGTTTCAAAGTTGTGGAAAACCTGGTAATTATTTTAAAACCCAGAAGGAAAAGGTAGGTAAGGGGGTGTTGTAGAATATTATTTTAAGGTATGTAATTTACGTTTAGGTTGCACTTGTTTAACGCTGTGAAGGTGTGATGCTTTGCCTGTCTAAAACACCTGGTGGGCTAATGAAAATTTTAATGGGCAGAGAAAGATTTTAAAGGCGGGAGAAAGGATGGGTTGGTCAGTCCCAGAGAGAGTATAAATAGAAGGAAAATCGTCAAGGAAGGAACAGAGAAAGAGCAAGAACAGGGAGAGGAGGATGCTAGGGGAAGGTAAGCAGTTACCCACCACTGAGTAGGAATCAAAGTAAGACACACAGAGGGGAAAAAAAGGGGGGTGGGAAAAGCCCACAGCCAGAGGCAAAGTAGACAGGTAATTCAAAGATAAGAAAAGCTGGCAGGGAACAAGCCAAGCTAAGGCTAGCCATTGTAAGTAAGAATAAGCTACTGTGTGTAATTTAGTTGGGAGCTGGGTATCAGGTCCCAAAAGAACAAAAGAATTAAAAGAGCAGACACGATCAACACAAAAGAGAAATATGGTGAATGCTAACTGGGTATAACCAGCCTCCTCAGGCCCCTGCCTTCCAACTGACCAGAGCAGCCTTCCTGTACTTAGGGACAGAATGTGAAGAAGACCAGTGTCTAAGCTAAGCCATCATTGGTCCATTTCTTGCTCTGACCTCACAATGACAGAACCCTGTTGCCTCACAACTCTGCCTGAGGCTGCCTCCTCTCCTTACAGTGCAGAGGCTGATCTTCAGCTGAAACTTGATTGAGAGAGAAGGGAGCTGCTTACAGTTCGTCAAGCGTTGAATCCGAACACAGTGAGTTTCCTTCTAAGGTCACAGATTTGGGGTTTAGAGGTTTGGGTTTCCAGGATTTAAAGTAACCCTTTCTTCCTTTCTTTCTCCCTTGGTCTGGGGTATAATTTGGGGCAATTTTTGTTATCTGCGTTAATTGGATGTTTACTCGATTTTAATGTTTAGTTTTAATATTTTCTCTGGGTTTATTCCTTCGTTCACCATTTTAAAACATTTGTTTCCATTGATTCTACAACATGAGTATTCTCGCAGTGGCATTTACAGACTCGTACATGGAAAGCTTTGAGCCCATTCCCCTGATCTCACTGCCTCCTGCCCACCCCTTCCAAGTCCCTTGGTCTTCTCACTTTTTCACTCAGCCAATTCCTTTCCGAGTCCAGGGCAAGTCATGTGGACTCCTGTCCAGAGGACTGACAGGCACACAGGATGGTGTCCCAAGGAAGGGCACCGATGTATGTCTGCCTGTGCTCTAGCAGAAAGCCTCCTCCTAAGTGGTCATCTTAGGATCTTCCTGGCGGTTCAAAAGTCAGGGATGGAGAGGGCCAGGGGTAATAGTTAGATCCCATTTTGTGATGCTAATTATGGAACAGGGCAGCTGAAAAGGATTCAAGAACAGGAAAAGTGAAAGGTCTAAAAAGAACCTGTTGTTTGAGGAAGAGAGGAACTTTCCTTGGTGGGACATAGCACACCAGGTCCCTTCACCATCTTCTGTCCTTCTGTGTGCCTGAAACTGATCTTTTGTGGGACGTTTTCATTTTCTATCAGGGGGCGGGGCGATTACAGTACTAAAGCTCGTGTGTTATCAGGCACAGGGGTGGGGGCAATAATGATTTGGAAGCAAAGGATGAGTTCTGCTGGCCCAAGACCTCAAGGAACATGTTCTGGAACAAAACTACCTAGTGCTGGGATGTTCTGCCCAGCACTCCAGAGACCCACCCCAAATACCAAATACCTGTCCTTTTGGAAAAACAGGGGGGACATTTTGTTGACAAGGACTGTCTTTATCTGGTTATCACAAGCCTGGGCTAGAGGAAAACTCTTTCATCTCATCCTTTCTTTATTTTTCCAGACGGGGACCCTCTCTGTGTGGCTCTGGCTGTTATGGAACTTGGTCTGTAGGCCAGACTGGCCTCGATCTCTCAGAGAGCTGCTAGCCAGTAACTAAGTGTGTAATGTGTGCACATGTGATGCCTTGGGGTGTGAACGTTCAGTCGACAGAGAACGTCCTGTTTGAACTCTTGTAAACTTCCATCCGGTTTCTTTGGCTTATGCCCCAGAGCTGGTTCTGGGCGGGTCCTGTGAGGTCCATTGAACGTTCAAGAACACAAAAGGCCGATCGCAGGCCTCCCGCCTCAGTTGTTGATGACACACTCATGGGCACACTCGTGTCCATGCCCCGTGTCTCACAGCAAAGGTTACTTTTGAAGCAGTGGGACCCTCAGTCTTGTACAAGACAAAAACAGTCCTTGCCCTTCTGTTTGCTTTTGCTTTTGGTTTGGTGAGAGAGGGTCTCCTGTAGCACAGGCTGGCCTCAAGACCACTGTGTAGCCAAAGATGGCCTGAACTGCTGGTCCTCCTGCCTCAACTTTCTTAGCTTTAATAATTGCCACGTGCCGGGCTGTAGCGGCGCATGCATTTAATCCCAGCAATCGGGAGGCAGAGGCAGCTGAACCTCTGTGACTTTGAGGCCAGCCTGATCTACAGAGCGAGTTCCAGGACAGCCATGATTGTTCAACAGAGAAACCCGTCCTGACAAACCAATAAAAGAAGCCCTGTGCTCACCTTTATGAGACCTTTCTTGTTTTCCTGTCAGTTTAATGGCCTAACCTGAATCTACTTGCATTTTAATTACTTTCTTCTCCCCAGGGCCCGACAGTCAACACCTCACCACATAGGCTGAGGCCTAGCGGGACTTCTGGTCCCGCTGGCACCAGCTTGGCCACCCTCACCAAAATGTAAGTTTTAACGAAGCTTCCTTTGTTCTATTTACCGAAAAAGACTTGGGAGTCAGATGTTGGGGTGATAACCTGCTAGCTCACAGAGGCCAAGAAGCAACCAATCTCCTTTCCTATTTGGACAGAGACCCAGCAAGAAAAGCATCTCTTCACTCATCCCAAACCAAAAAGACCCCGAATCGCTAAGTCCCTCCCTACACCTTCCCGTGCATCCCTCTCTTCCTATTGCTGGCTACTTTGTTCTTCCTTGGCTAATTCTTGTCAACTACTTGCTCGCTCCACTTCCTGAGGATTTTTTTGTTTTGTTTTGTTTTGTTTTTCTTTTCTTTTCTTATCTTCTTTTATTTTTATTTTGTTGAGACAGATGGATAGGCATGCCGTGCAGAGTGAGGTTGGATATCTATTTAGTGGGTGTGGAAGGGAAGGGGAAAGAGGAGAAGAGCCGAGAGGCAGGGAGAGACAGAAACAGAAGGGGGAAGAGGAGTAGTGGGGAGAATGGAGCAAGGCAGAAGCTGCCTCTTCGGGAGGAGAGACAGAAAAGGCCGCTCCCTGAGTTTTCAGTCGATTTTATTAACACAGTCTCAAGATATTCAGAGTGTGATCAAATATCCCACTCCTGACTTTCCCATTGAGTTCCTATATAATGTGTATCAGCTGACCCTGAAGGACTCTCCGCATGCTGAGTACATCTAGTTGTGCATGTTTGATTTGTGTGTGTGCGCGTGTGTGCGTGTGTGTGTGTGTGTGTGTGTGTGTGTGCATGATGAGTAAGTGATTGAGTGAGTGAGTGACTGTAATATGTATGTAACTATGTGTCTATGTCTGTGTCCTGTCAAGTCCATGTTGAAACTTCAAACCTGAAAAACAGTATTAACATTTGGAGATCTGCCACACAGCAGAACAGGTGGCCTTTAGAAAGGGGCTTGATAGACTGAGCTCATGCCTTTCCTTGACCATGTAGGAATACATACAAAGTACCAATTAGAGTTAGAAAGCAGTCCTGTTAGACACTCATTCTGTTGGCATCTTGATCTTACCTTGCCAATGTCCAGAGATGCAAGTGACCAATTTCTGTTGTTTGTAAGGGACACACCTAAGACCTTCTGTTTGAGAGCAGAGGGGCCTAGGGTGCCAGGATATGGCTCCATGACCTACCTATGTTGTCTGTGGGGTTCTGGTTGACAAGTATTTTCTTGGTCCTTTTGAACAAACCTATCAGAACACTGTCTTTGGGGGGTCTTGGGCTTTGGTAAGCGGTGTCAGGAATAATAGGGATCGTGTGATGAATGATGTCATCTTGCTCTCGGCCCCACAGATGTTTGTCCCAGGCCATAGGGTGCCATGGAATGCAGTATTTGGTCACAGCATCTCGATGTAGTAAGGAGCTGCCATCCTAAAGGAAGCATCAAACTAAGTTGAAAGAAAAAGAAATGGAACACTTTGAGTGTAGACATGATGAGTTCTTACCAACTTGTCACAGAAGTTTGGCTAGGAACCAAGTGAAAAGCAAAACACTATCCACCTACTAAGGAGAGAGTATCAGAGCTCGTAACTGGGGGCAGCCAGTGCTCTGGAGTTCATTGTCATACTTATGACTGCTCGTTTTGTTGTTAAAGTGGACAGGGTCCTTGTTAAGGTTTGGGTGTCAAGGTCCCACGAAGAATCAAGTGTTTGGACAGTGTTCCCACCACGCGACACCATTTGGGGAAAATTGTGGACCTTGGAGAATGGGCCTAGCAGGAAAAATTGGGGCACTGGGCAACACTAGGGACAGTCATTTGAGTGTAAGCAGCGCTGCTCCTCCTGACCAGAGCAGCCTTCCCTGTCGTGAGAACAGAAGTGAGGAAAACCAGTGTCTGAGCTAAGCCATCATTGGTCCATTTCTTGCTCTGACCTCACAATGACAGACCCCTGTTGCCTCACAGCTCTGCCTGAGGCTGCCTCCTCTCCTTACAGTGCAGAGGCTGATCTTCAGCTGAAACTTGATTGAGAGAGAAGGGAGCTGCTTACAGTTCGTCAAGCGTTGAATCCGAACACAGTGAGTTTCCTTCTAAGGTCACAGATTTGGGATTTAGAGGTTTGGGTTTCCAGGATTTAAAGTAACCCTTTCTTCCTTTCTTTCTCCCTTGGTCTGGGGTATAATTTGGGGCAATTTTTGTTATCTGCATTAATTGGATGTTTACTCGATTTTAATGTTTAGTTTTAATATTTTCTCTGGGTTTATTCCTTCGTTCACCATTTTAAAACATTTGTTTCCATTGACTCTACAACATGAGTATTCTTGCAGTGGCATTTACAGACACATACATGGAAAGCTTTGAGCCCATTCCCCTGATCTCACTGCCTCCTGCCCACCCCTTTCAAGTCCCTTGGTCTTCTCACTTTCTAACTCATCCTTCCTGTCCTTGGTATCAGAAGTTGAAGAAACCCAATGAGCTGTGCAAACCATCGTTTGTCATTTTCTTATCCTTACCCAACAGAGCCCTGTGCCCTCAGTGCTCTGACTGAGGCTCCTCCTCTCCTTACTATGCAGGTGGGTTTGTGAGGTGGAAAGTGTTTGGCGCTCTTTGCTGGTGAAAGAGGCTGCTTGGTCTTTCAAGATCTGCTGAGCTCCAACATAGTGAGTTTGTCTCCAACTTTGTTCCCTTTATATTGTTGTTGTTGTTGTTGTTATTATGCATTATGTATTATGTATTATGCATTTTCTGGCTTGATTCATGAGCTTACTTTTTCATGTTCTTTTTTTTTCACTCTCTGTTCATTTTGCGGTTGTATTGGGAGGAGAATTCAGGACAGAAATTCTTTGTGTAGCTCTGGCCTTTCTTCAACTCACTCTGTTGATAAGGTTGGCCTCAAACTGAAAGATCACCCGCTTTCCTTCTGAGTGTTGAAATTAAACGCATGTGCCCCCATAGCCCAGCAGTGTTTATTTTTAAGTTGTGCTTTCAGGGGTATAAGTTTTAATATGATTATTTTATGTGTATGAGGTTTTGTTTCCACGTCTGTGTGTGCACCATGAGCCCCGCACCTGTGGAGGTCACAAGAGGGAGACAGATTAGCTAGAACTCAAGTAACAAGTGATTGTGAGCACTGTGTGGTTTGGGCCTCGAACCAGGGTTCTCTGAAAGAGCAGGAGGTGCTGTTAAACACTAACTCATCTCTCCAGAACCTCTGTATTTAGGTTTACTTCTTCATTTACTTTTGTTATGTGTTCCTTGGTCCATTTCTTATGTTATTTCAGACCTCTCCTTGTTATGGCGTACCGTATCATAGGAACAATTTAGTCCTGGCAATCGCAGGAACATCTCGAATGCATTCTGATCACATGATCATGTGATTAACCCACACTGCTTTGCTTTCTTCTCACATTACCTCCTCCACACTCCTAGGAGCCCCTCTTTATGTTGAGGACCCCCTCCTGCTCCCAAGTTTCACATATGAGAGAAGAAAAGGAACACATTTGAAGGACTGGCTTTTCTCATGGAGAGCAATCTTCTCCAGTGCCAACCATGTTCTTTAGAGCCCCACAATTTCATCCTTCTCTCTGGTCATCCTTTTGTATGACTGTGGCACTCTTGCCCTTAATTCTGTTTCAATGTTGTGTTGTCAGGCTAAATACATAGAGCATGGATCATTGTGAGCATATTTTAACCATGAAGTGTGGCCTGGCTAATGTGAATTTGGTGAAAAGTATTACGTAGTATTATTAAGGACTTTTACATCTATGTTCATCATGGAAATAGCCTCTATTTTTCTTCATTGTGTTTTCCTGGTTTTGGCATGAACGAGTTTGGAACTGCTAAGTACCTTTCTATTTTGTGGAGTATTGAGGAGCACTGACATTTGTCTTCAAGAGATTGGAAGGATTCATCAGTAGGTTTGCCTGGTCCTGGGCTTTCCTATGCAGATTGTTTCCTCATAAATATTTCAATCTTGTTCTTTATCATATCTTCTTAGTTGAATTTATATCAAGAAGTTTCTCAATTCCATCCACATTTTCCAGTCCATGGAAGGACTCTCAGGGTTTTCAAAATCAGATTTCTTTGGGGATGGGTGGGTTAGCCTGGAGAGACGGCCCAGCAGTTAGGAGCATGTACTCTTAGCCCAAAAGACCTAGGTCTGCCTCACAGCAGTCCCACGACATCATAACTTGCTGAAGCGCCACACCTAGGGGATCTGTTGCCCTCTTATGTCCTTCCAGGTCATAGAAATAAAATTATACAAAAAGACTTATATCACTATTTAAAATTAAATGTAGTACATGTGATTGTACATGTAGGCGACCTCAAGTGTGTGTGTGTGTGTGTGTGTGTGTGTGTGTGTGCCCTTGCGATTGTCCACACGTGTGTTTGGATGCCCTCAGAGGTCAGAGGTGTAGGATCTCCTAGAACTGGGGTCAGTGATCCACCTGACCTGGGTCCTGAGAACCAAACACAGGTCCTCTGCAGGAATAGTAAACCTTCTGACCTCCTGAGCCATCTCCCCACCAAGACACTCTGGGTTTTGGGGGTTTCTGTTGTCTCATCAACTTCTCTTGCATGTGATTTTATTAGTATCTTCTCTCTCAATGAATGTTCAGCTCGAGTATGACGATGGTTCTTCTTCCCAATAAGTGGCTCGTAGCTTCTGCGACCCTTTGTTTTATTCTCTCAGTTTCTGGGTGAATCCGGCCAACGTGATCTGTGTTATATTCTGCTGTCCACTGCTTTGGAAGGTACTTCCTTCCCTTCCTGAGTACTACATACCTAATTAGGTTACCTGAAATATCTGTGACTCTTTTTCTCTTTGGGATGTAGGAATTCATAGTGATAAACATTCTCATTGGTGTGATTTAAACTGTTTAAAATTCCCATTGTGTTTCAACAAGAATCCGACCATGGAGCAGGGCGGAGACACCCTCTATTGCGATGAAAAGACCTTCACCGATGTTTGTCAAATAATGACGACATTGGGACGAGGAGCCTTTGCAGCAGTCAAACTTGCCTTCCACATGCCTACTCTCACCTACGTGGCTGTCAAGATTCTAGGCAATACAAAGAGGTACCCCGCAGATAATAACGAGGTTGATATCATGAAATCCCTCGTTCATCCGCATATTATCAAGTTCTTCCAGGAGGTCCAGACACGGGAGGTGACTTACGTTATAATGGAGTACGCCTCCAAAGGGGACCTACTGCGTCAGATCCGCAAACCGGGAGGATTAAAGGAATGCGAGGCTCGGAAGTTCTTTTGGCAGATACTACAGGCAGTGAAATACTGCCACAACAACTGTATCGTGCACAGAGACATAAAGGCAAAGAACATCTTGATTGACTCCAATGGCACTGCCAAGTTGTGTGACTTTGGCCTGGCAGTTAAAGTTCTCCCTGGGGAAAAGATAAATAATTTCTGCGGCACTCTGGCCTACTGCGCCCCGGAAGTCTTTTGGGGGGAACCTTATGATGGCTATGCTAGCGATGTTTGGACCTTGGGGGTGCTCCTCTATTTTATGGTGGCCAGGCACGTACCATTTCAAGCTACCTCGTCTGCGGGTCTGAGGCGGCAAATCCTTGCTGCTAACTTTAGCGTTCCTCATCACGTCCCAATAGACATTTTTAACGTCATTGTGGAGATCCTGATGATAAATCCCAACAGGAGGCCCACCATCAACGAAATCCTGGAGCGCCCCATGGTGAGGGACAGCCAGCCACAGGCATCCATACCGAGCCCCACAGGCACCCCGAGCCCTCGCATTGTTGGGGCCTTGAGAGGCAAGGGGTGCAAGCATGAAGGAATGATTGAGTGTCTAGGAGAGGAAAACTATAACCGGGCACCCGGGGGAGACTGCTGCCATCACCAGGGGAAATCTGCAAAATCAACGGAGCCAGGCCTTGTCCCCAACCTGAGAAATCTTAACACCTTTTCTGGGACCCTCAGGAGAGCTACTGACCTTACTCCCCCAACCTTCATCGTGCCATCTGAGCCCCAGAAGGAAGATAAGAATTCCAGGCAGGGTGGCAGAAGGCATAACATGCCTGCCACCCTGTGCTGCCAGCCTAGGAGGATCCACCTTGCCCACCTATCCCATCTGCGCTGTCCTGTGGCTGATTCCCTCAGGAGCAGCAGCCTGGCCACCAGGGAGAGTTCCACGCACTCTAAAATGGCATTGTGTGGCAGCTTGACGGTGAGTGCCCAGCCATCCTGCTCTCCGTACCCCGCTCTTGGGGCAAACCAGAATGGGGCTGCAAATGACCCAGAGAAACTCTGGCACTCCCATGTAACTTCCAAAGGCTCCTCCCTTGGGGACACAGTGCAGGAAGTGACCCGAGAAGTGTCCACAAGACAGGAAGAGGCCATCATCCATGGTCAGCCCCAGGATGCCAGGCCAGCTTCCTCCCGAAGCCAGAGGCACCACCGCTGGAAACGGATGAAAAAAACAATTGTCAGCTGCCTCAGGCAACTATGCTGCTGCCTGCCTCCCACAGAGGGAAACAATGCATTCCGTGAGAACCAGGCTCCACAGACACGGGATCCTGGAGACACCCACAGAACCAGGTGAGCGCCCTTCTCACTTCATCTGATTTGTACTTTTCCTCCTGTCCTTTGTGATAAATGACGCCTGTGTCCACTCGTGGCACACTGTGAGCGTAACAACCTGTCACTTCAGAAAGACCAGGTGTCCCCTCAAGTGTGACCTCGGGCTTGTTGAGCAACAGGGGGACAGCAGAGATGCTGAGCCAAGCAGGGAGAGGTGGGGGCAAGGCCAAAGGAGGCAAAGATTCCTTGGAGGACCAGTCAGGTACTTGGGCGCTGCAGGGCAGTGCACTAAGTCTTGTGCGTTTTGAAGTCACTAAGAGTCTCCTTCCTGTGCCTTTCTCTTTGAAGCCCTGAAGAGGTCAAGCCCCAGCTCCGTGGCTTCTGAGCCACGGGTTGGGGATCGGTCTGGAGGAGATTCGGACAGCCCCTCTGGGGACCCAGGCCAGATGCCCAGGACACCACACTGTCTGGCCACAGGCCCCTCCTGCAGAGGAAGAGTCATCCACCCCAGAGAACATCTATCTCTCCAGGTAAAATCCCAGGCAGGAAGGGTAGGCTTCCCACAGGGTCTAGCTCAGTGTGGAGGGCTGAGGTGCAAAGGTGCCCTAGGCTGTCTCGTGGAACAATAGCGCCTTGCCCTCTTCCCCTGCCTGCCTGCAGAAACATCAGAAGTGGCGCTCTGGGTAGTGGTTGTCCTTTGCCCCGTTTCTTGGCAGAGAACACAGACTTCTCTCCCCCAAGGACAGTATTCCTAGTCAGCCTGCCCTAAGTTGGGTTGCCAGGTTGAGAATGTGTCCTGCAAGCAGCCCTGTAGGACTGACTCCTCTAGAGGACAGGCTCCTGCAAGAACCTTTAGCAAGAATCCCCACAAGTCATCCCAGCAAGTTCCATTGCTTGAGTCCTCAGACCCAAAGCTTGGGAAAATCTGAGCTGGGGAGTGAGGGACTCCAGGGCAGCAGAGTCCCCCCTCTCCACCAATTCTGCCTTCCAGCTACTCACCTCCTGCCTCTGCCTGCTTGCTCCCTCAAGGCCACCATTCTCACCAGTGACAACTGGCTCCTGCACTCACCACCATGTGCCACACCCTGAGGGACTGGTAGGTGAAATGCTAAGGAGTGAAACCCAAAACCCAGTGAGGTGTCAGCAACCTGCTGTGCTCCCTGCCTCCAGCCTGCCTGAGTCTGCACTCAGCAGTGAACTTTTCTTAGATGGCTTCTGTTTTTGACAGCCCCACGAATGCATCTTACAAAGGTAAGCAGGCTTTTCCACTTTTTCCACTTCTTTTGGAGGGGTGGGGGAGGTTCCGGGAAACTGCCTCGTGCATACCACAGTCACATTGGTAAAATCTCATCTCGTGTTCTTTCCGCCTAGACCGTGTCAACTTGTCTGGGTCATGAGACCCAGAGAAGACTGCGCGACTGGTAGTGTGGTGTCCGTCTCTGCAGCTGTCCTGTGACAGCATCTATGTTCAAGAATGTGTCCCTAAGTGTTCCCCCCAGAACCCCATGCTTCCCAGCCCATCGTCAACAACTCTGTACATGCCACAGGGTCCATTCCTGGCCTTAGTCACTGGACCAGACTGAACTACTTAAACTGAGAGAGCTTCTCAGGAGACTCTGGCCAGCCTGGGAGGCTGATCTGGCCTGACACTGTGAACTTGTTCCCCTGCCTTCTACCCACTCGAACACGCAGCCGCTGGTGAGTCGCTCTCTCTCTTTTGTGTGTCTGCCTGTCTCCGTCTCTGTGGTTGTGTGTTTTTCTTGCACATGAACAACTCTCAGGCAGGCCAGCTGCTCTGTCATATGTTGAACTCCCAGGGAATCACCAAGCACTGAGGATGGCCATAAGCAGCCGCAATAATGCAAATATAATATAAAAATTCCAATTGATTGTAATAGACACGGCAAATACAAACAAACACACAAACAAACAAGCAGACATAACACCTTGAGTGAGCCACCCTAAAAACTACAGACCCACAGAAATATGCTAAGGGAACACATTCTATCTGCAACCGTAGATGAGAATTGGCTCTCATTCCCTGACAGGTGCATTAAGTGTTAGGTGCACACTTCCATCTTATTTTCTGACATTTGGTTGTGTCTGTTTTGGTTAGTAGGAACCGTAGGCTACGAACTGTTTCTCTTTGATAGTTTTCGAGTTCACACAGAGTCTTGCCCTGTAACTCGTTCTGGACTGAAACACAGTGTGTAGTCCAGGCTGGCTTTATAGTCCTGAAGGTGCTGCTGCCTCAGCTCCTCCTTAGCTGCACTGAAGCACTGTCAGCATTGTGGTTTAGTCAAGGCCTCATAGAGCCCAGGCAGGCCACTCTGTAGCCAAAGATGACCTTGAGCAGGATCCTCATCTTCTCGTCTCTAACTGCCCACTGCAGGAATTCCTTCCTGCTTTGAGCCACTCTGCCCTGTTAAGTAGGAAAACCTCCAGGCCAGGGTAGGCATGAGTGAGTTCCAGGCTGAGTAAAAACCTGTCCCCAAAAGAATATGGAGATTCTAAATATTCTGAACTATCAGATCTGGAGACCAGGGCAGGCGAGATGGGTGGACGGGACTGTGTGACAGCAGGACGTGCCAGCATCCCTGTGTCATCCTCGCCTGGTGGGGAAGGGAGCAGGTGTGGGAGCTTGCTTAAGGTAGAAGAGGTCTGGTGGTGCCTCAGGATGGGGAGACAGACTCAGGCTACTCTCTGAGTTCAAGGGTAGCCTAGTAGACACAGAGAAACCCTGTCTCAGAAGCCAAGCAAAATGTTTTAAGGAATAAAATCATTTGATGAATATTCCTGGTCTACATGTGTGCTCAAAAGGTGAGGACACACAGACAGACAGACATTCTCAAACAGACACACACACACACACACACACACACACACACAACCACGCACACACACACTTATGGTCATGGATATATCATGCACAAACACATACCCGCCTTTTGTAGAGTTCTTCAACTCTGTCCTTTCTGTTCCCCTTCACTGCCGACTGTCTGTACCTTGTACTCATGGTCGTCTTTTTTCTTTGCGAAAGCATATGACTCTTAAACCCCACAGTGGCCTATCTATTGGTTCCTTCTAATGAAGAATCCTTTCTCTTTCTCTCCTGTTGTTTTGACTCTGGTTTACTGTATGTAGTCCCGGCTGCCAAGGACTGTCGATCCTCCTGCCCTCAGCCAGCTGAGTGTAGGCGGTACAGGTATGTAACTTGTCTTAGCGGGTTTTGGGAGTTTTACTTTTTAAATCATCTACATAGGGGTGGATATTCTTGATCTTTTAATCCTTCTGCCTCCACCTACCCAATGTAGGGATTACAGGAATTCCACACTATGCCTGGTTTGTTTGGTTCTGGAAACTAAACCCAGGTTTCTGCATGGTGGGCAAGAGCTGCCCCAACTGAGTCACACCTGGAGCTCAGGCAGGCTAGCCTCAGACTCTCTGTAGCTAAGAAACACCTCCTGATGGAACTGCAGATCTTACCCATTGACCCTGCTTTTTCTCTTCCTTTCTTTCTCTATTTTTTTTCTTTTAGCCTTTCTAGATGACCTATTTTTCCGACTGAGAATCTTTTGAAGTTGCACACGCAAGGGGCGTAGCTGGACACCACTCTTCTTCTGAAGCTAGTGAGCTGTGTTCTGGGTGGGAGGGAGGAACAGGAGGCTGTCCCAGTCCCGTGTCATCTCAGAGTCCCCGGACTCTCCCCTGTGTATCCAGGGAGCGTTGAAGGTGTGTTCTGACCAGCAGTCCTCAAGTTGGCCTCGTCTGAGTGCCTTTGCAGCTCCGTGCAACAAAATGAAAGTCACCAGCCCTAACCAGCCCATGTCCCGACCTCAGGCTGATGAAACTAAGAAGATGGAGCCTCACCCTTCTGCTTGAAGGTTTAGTCACCTTACCCCTTGGGGCAATCTCCTATTCCTCACATTTAGACAGTTCTAGGGAGTTTGTGGGTTTGTCTAGACGCTAGAGCTAGGGTGAAGGTGTGTACCTATAATCCCAGGACTCTGGAGGCTTAGCCTAGAGACTAGCCATAAATTCAAGGCCAGCCTGGCCTCCATGAGGAACAGCAGTCTAGTCTTTGGTGGCTCTCTCTCTAAAACACAGAAAGTGAACAACAGGACTAATGCTCAGAGTGCCTAGCATACACACTGGCTCTGGCCCTGTCTTCTTTAGGATAAAATAAACCCTGGTGGAGCATGCCGCGAATCCCAGTATTGGGGCACGGACACAAGAGGATCAGGGAGTCAAGGTCATCCTCCAACACAGAGTGTTTGAGGCCAGTCTAGGAGGAATGACACTCTATTTTAAAAACAAACAGCACCTACCCCCAAATCTTAATGCCCCAATCTGAGAAAACAGTGACATAGCAGCCCATTCCAACCACATATTCTTTGAATCAAAAGATCTTTCTGATAGATGTGCAGGGCTATTTCCTGTGACTCATATCTGGAAGTGGCCTGAGCCAATTGAGTTCATCCTTGTGCACAGCACTGAGGAACCCTTCGGTAAGTACTCCCTGCTGGCCCTGTGGGAGGCACTGACAGGAAGGTTTGGAGAGCATGGAGAGACCCCCACCTGTGCCAATAAGAAAGGCTGGAAGGCTGCTGGCCCTGCCACCCCTCAGAAACCCTGATGCTGTGCTGCCCCCTTGTGGCACTTCTGTACCAGTTCCGTGTTAGTTTGCCTGGTTTGCTGGGGTCCCTGCTTCAACTCCTGCCACAAAGTGGGGTGACTGGATGTGCTCGGAAGTGGGGTGGGGGAGGCGTCCATTGCTCTGTACCCATCTGACGTAACTTTATCCTCCTTTACTTCATTCCATTTCTACAGTATCCTAATAAAAGGACAAAATAGCTTTCATAGATGTTCTGCCCAGGGGATGTCCCTGAAGAAACTTCATAGACTACATTGCTGGTTCTTCCTGGCCCTAATGAGAAATGATTGGCACCAAGCAAGAGTGTGAAATCGACCCCCTGGGTGAGATTCAGAAGCACAAGAAGCTTGACAGTGACTGTCTGTCTGTACAATGCCTGTTTACCTTATTTGATATGACTTTATTGTGCAGAACCCAAAGAAAAGGACGGGCAGGCTTGCTGAAGCTGGCCACCCCAGCACCTGGAGATGGAAACAGGTGAATCCCGTTTTTGTTTCGTTGTGGTGGTTTTTCTTCTTTTGGAGACAGGGTTTTTCTGTTTGGCCTTTCCTCTGTAGACCAGGCTGGTCTTGAACTCACAGAGATCTGCCCGCTTCTGACTCCTGGATGCCAGGATTGTAGGTGTGTGCGTGCCACCTTTTGAGGCAGATGCATCTTGACCTCACTGGCCTTGAGAAAGCCTGTGTTAAAACACAAGGTGTCCAGCACCCGTGAATTGACATTTGACACTGAACACCTGGGCTACACACACATACCTTGAGCTTGCAAGTGTGTGAGTCTACGGACACCGATGCACACGTACACAGTGTAAGCATATAGTGTGTGAGTGCATCTGCACACACTTAAGTCAAAAGAGTGTAAGGAAGCACAAGGTCCGCCTGGGGTGCTGTGGACCTTTAGTCCCAGCACTCGGGAGGCAGAGGCAGGCAGATCTCTGTGACGTCAGCTTGATCTACAACTGCAGAACTTGCTGTCCTAGGAATCCTGGGCTACCCACAGAAGCCGGGCTATAAAAAACCCAACAAGGTGAAGGGCAAAGAGGAAGCAGCACAAAGTTAGTTGAAGAAGCAGGTAGAAGATCTGACCTCCTCTGCAGGAGCATCCCGGTGGCCAGACCTATGAGAACGAGACAGGATGCTGCTGCTGAGAACACTGGATTGTCCTCTCTGGATGCTAGATGGTTGGCAGAGCCCAGTGAGCCAAGCCCTGGAGAATCTTATTACTGCTGAGTAGAATTCAGTTGGTGGCTGCCAAGGTGATCCCAGCTTGGTTAGCACTGTGGGTCACCTGGATGTCTCACCTCTCTGCAGCACGGGACTAGGCGTCTCTCAGATGCCAAGGCAGAGGGCCCCGCGCTAGGGAGAAAAGATGGCCACCTTGAGCAATTCTACTGGTGCTAACCCTTTCTTCTTCCTGAATCGTTGCAATACATGTTTTCTATGTTGAAAATAAAATGGCATTGTTAAATGAGCTTTTGGTTGTTTTGAGCTAGGTCTTTTCTGTTACTCATTTTTGGCTGATGTTGTACTATATAGCCCATGCTGCCTTGAAATTTAAGGCAATCTGCCTTAGTTTCCTGAGTGGCTGGGATTATATGTGGACCTCATCACTCCCTGCTTATGTTCCTATTTTTGTTTGTTTTGGTTTAATTTGATTTTGTGTGCCTGTGTGTGTGTGTGAGATTTTTTCAAGATAGTCTTTCTATAATAGCCTTGACTGTTCTGAAACTTACTTTTTGAACAGATTGTCCTCAAACTCACAGAGATCCACCTGCCTCTGCCTCCTGAGTGCCAGGATTAAAGTCTTGTGTCACCACCACCCAGTCTATGATCCTGCTTTCATTTCATTTTTTTTTAAATAGGGTCTCATGTATTTTAGGTTGGTATTAACCTTGCTCTGTAGCAGAGGCCATCTTGAAGTCCTGCTCATCTTTTATCTCCTCTTTTCTGCTTGTATCACAATCCTGTGCCACCACACTGGTTTATGATGTCACGGGCATCAAACCCAGTACTTCAACCATCCTAAGAAAGTCCTGTCCAAACTGTTTTACTTCTGTGGCCCAAAATGTGTCTTTTTTTCTGAAATTACCATTTAAAAACATGTGTAGGGATGAATCTCAGGACACAATTGTATAGGTGCCTGGTACCCTGGAGGTCATCAACTGGCTCTGAATCTCCTGGAACTGAAGTGAGCTATCACCTGAGTGCTGGAAATTGAAGTTGGGTCATCTTGAAGAGCAAGCAATCCTCTTAATCCCTAATCCTCCTCTCTATTCCTATATCTTTAAAGTGTAATTTATGTGCATTGGAAGAAAATGTGTATTCAGAAGGCAGTCCTCCAAGAGCCACCCCTGCCATCAGATCACAGAGTTATCTCACAAGACACCCTCAGGACAGGTCTTTTGATTGCTGACATTCTGGATCAGATTATCTTTTGGGCACACCTGTGGGAGACTGTCTTCATTGTTGAGGAGGGATCCAATCATCTGGTGTCGGGCGCTAGACTGCTATATTAACATAGAACAAGCTAGCTGCACAGCAAACAAGAATGCCTGCACTGTCTCTCTGTGCTTGGCTGTGGCAGTGCTGTGTGTGGGTGACTAAATTCCTGCCTGCATTCCCCTAAATGACAGTGACCCAGGTTGTAAACCGAGGAAACTCTTTCTTCCCTTGCTTTTCATCAGGATATTTTACCACAGCGATGGCAATGAAACCACGACACCTTTCTGGTCTTTGTTAGATTAATCCAGGGAGTGGTCAACCATCCGTCAGTAGTCACCATAGCCACCCAAGCCAGTGCCTCTACAGTTCGTTCTCTCATTGATGAGGGACAGGGAATGCAAAGGAATGGGCAAAGGGAAAGTCTATTCAGGACGGTGAGGCGTGCTCCTGAGTGGGAAGGTAACCTAGAGGAAGGCTAATACTGAGCTTTTGAGGGGCTCCCTGACCGGAATGGACAGTGGAGTCGGTCACGTCTTCCTAAGGTTGGTTATTTTCTGGACATAAGTGTAGGCTGAGCCAGTGAGGGCCAAATGCTGTTTGTAGATCCCTTTGGCCCTGTCAAGGGATGATCAGGCACCATTTGCCCAGTCAGGAAAGAAGAGAGTCATAAGCTGTGATGCTCATCCCTGTGCATTCTTGTTTGCTTGTTTTGCCAGCCATTAATTAGACCATGTTCTCCTGGTCATGTGATCAACATGTTTGCCACAGACCCTTGTTCTTATTGTTCATCAGGAGCCGACTCCTAAGCCAATACTTTTATCTCTACTGAGTTACCTCTTAGACATATTATTCTGATTGGGACAAATTTTATCCACAAGCCCCAGAGGAAAGACATTAAATTGGCCAAGTTAATGTCAGAGAATAACCAATGAGAGGCAATGCAAGTTTTAATACCATTCTTCAGGTCTCTGCCTTCTTCTGTGACCCCAGACATTGAAGCACATACCTTTAATGCCAGCACTCAGGAGTCAGAGGTCTGTAATCGAAAGTTAAAGAGGTGTGACAGGGGAGGATTCGGCACCCTCTGCTACATAGAAAGTTCAATATCAACCTAAAATACACGAGACCCTGTACCAAAACTGTAAAATAAAAATAGGCTCATGATAACAAACCTATAATCCCAGCTGAGGCAGACTGCCTCAAATTTAAGACCAGCATGGGCTTCGTAGTACCAGGCCAGCCAAAGAGATGCTACAGAAAAGACTTCGTCTCAAAGCACACTAGTGTAGCACGAATTCTAATCTGGTCTTAATAATAAAAATCCAGAGTCAAATATTAGGGGGTGAAAGCTGAAGGATCAGAGAAGCAGAGCAGCCAGCCACTAGAGAGACCTCTACCAAATCCTCAGACCAAATGGGCGATCCTGTCCTCAGCCTGCAATGAGCTCCTGTCTCCTCCAGCCTTCTATTCCTCTCTCTGCGCAGCCATATCCCTTTCTGTCTCTACCTCCCTAGTGCTGGGATTAAAGGCATGGGACTCCCAAGTACTGGGATTAAAACTGTGAGTCACCACTGCCTGGCCTCTACTGGTTTAGCTTTGCACTCTGGCAAGCTTTGTCATAACACAAACAAAAATGTCACTACACACTGATCTCTCTGTATCCAGATCACAGTCCTATTGGTGCTTGAATACAAAGGACAGACCCTGATTTGAGGTCACCAACAGAGCAACAAAACAGGGACAGGATAACAGAGAGGCCTGATGGCTCACAAATACACTGCTAGCACTTGGAAGGCAAGACCAGCACCCATTTTGAATTTTTTTTTAATTGGGTTTTTTGGAGACAGTTTCTGGCTGTCCTGGAACTCACTCTGTAAAAAACCATGTTGATCTCAAACTCAGAGATCTGCCTGCCTCTGCTTCCTGAGTTCTAGGATTGAAGGTGTGTGCCACCACTGCCTAGCTCTATTTTGAAGTTTTAAAATGAACATATCTTGGCGAGGGCCATGCTTATGAAGGTCAGAGGACAGCCTGTGCAAGTTTGTTCACTCTTCCATCATGGAGGCTCTGGGGATCATCTGGGTCATTTGGCAACAGGTGTCTTTACCCGCTGAATTCTCTCTATGCCCATATTGTTTTATAGTTAATGATATGTTTCATAATAACAATGTGATTTTCACTAAAAAAATACATAAAGGGGCTGGAGAGATGGTGCAATGGTTAAGAGTGTGTACTGCTTTTGCAGAGGGCCAGAGTTCAGTTCCCAACACCCACATCAGGTAGTTCACAATTACCTGTAACTCCAGCTTCAAGAGGGCCCTCCACATCAGGGGTGAGCAATCACATAAACCTATATATAATATACACATGAAGTGAAGTAAAAAATTTTAACACATAAATGTGACTATATATACATGTATCTCATATTTTTCCCAACTTTCTGTGACCACACCCCAAATGTCCTGTCTAAATGGGATGAAGAATAGTCATTTTGAGACAGAATCTCAATCATAGCCAAGGCCAACCTGGAGCTCACTACGTGGACTAGGCTGGACAAGAACTCTCTTGTCTTTCTGCTCCAGCTTCCAGAGTTCATGGATTATAGGCATGAGCTGCTTCGTGCAGCTAGGAGACAGTTCATCTGATGGCATGGCCACAGGGGTGACATAAAATCGAATGTGCCGTGAACATGCACAGTGAGTTGCTGAATCTAGTTTCTGACAGTCTCATCACAGACACATTATTCTTTGTAGAGGACACCATGTAGTCCTGGCATGCCCGGAACTCATCATGTAGACCAGGTAATTCTCACAGAGATCCTCCTGACTTCCTGTGAAAGGTGCATGTTGCTGGGCCGTGGTGGTGCACGCCTTTAATCCCAGCACTTGGGAGGCAGAGGCAGGTGGATCTCTGCAAGTTCGAGGCCAGCCTGGTCTACAGAGCAAGTTCTAGGACAGGCTCCAAAGCTACAGAGAAATCTTGTCTCGAAAAATAAAGACAACAAAACAAAAAACAAACAAAAAGAAAGAAAGAAAGAAAGAAAGAAAGAAAGAAAGAAAAGAAAGAAAAGAAAAGAAAGAAAAGAGGGAAAGGGCTGGTGGTACAATTCAGTTGTTGGAGTGCTGCTTGCTTAGCATGCAGGAAGCCTTGGATTTTGATCCTCAGCACCTGGTGAAATGGACATGGTAATCCATTTTAGTAGTGCTTGGGAGGGAGAAGCAGGAAGATCAGAAGTTCCCAGTCATCTTGACTATAGAGACCAACACACAATGCTCAGTGCTCACATGGGCTATAAGACACTCTACTAAAGAAAAAGGAAGGAAGGGAGGAAGGAATGACCCTGTGGTTAAGAACACTGTTTTCCAGGTCCTGCGTTAGGTTCCCGACAACCACATGGTGGCTCACAGCCATCTGCTGCTGGAGTTCCTTCTGCTCCTTCAGCCAATAGCCTTTAAGATACCAGCCCACTCGGGCATGGTCTCTTTTGCTTTAAAAAGCAGCAGTAGCCTTGCTCTCACTCTCTTGCTTCTGGCTTCTGCTTCTGGCTGCTAGACTCTGTTCCTGGCCGCTCAGAGGGCTGTTGTCTAGGACGGTAATCTGTAAGTTTTCCCCTTAAATAAATAACCCTTTTATTAATCATAATTCCCAACTGGTGTGGCCTTCAGCCATCCGTAATGAGATCTGGTGCTCTCTCTGGCAGAACACTGTATAATAAATAAATAAATAAATAAATAAATAAATAAATAAATTTTTTAAAAAAAAGTCAGTGGGGTAGTGGTGGCACACACCTTTAATCCCAGCACTTGGGAGGCAGAGGCAGGTGGGTCTCTGTGAGTTTGAGGCCAGCCTGGTCTACAAGAGCTAGTTCCAGGACAAGCTCCAAAGCTACAGAGAAACCCTGTCTTGAAAAACAGAAACAGAAACAAAAAAAGTCCTTAAAAAAAAAGTTGTGTATAGGATGCTGGAAAGATGGCTCAGTGGTTAAAAAACATGGGCTGCTCTTCCAAAAGAACTGGGTCTTTGTACACC